ATCTATGTAAGTATATATATATATATATATGTGTATCTTAATACACGTATACGTATACACGTATAAACATACATATCAATATAATTAAATTTACAATACAAATTTACAATACAAATTTACAATGAAAACATTAAACGGTGTATAATTTTGAAATGACACTCAATATAAATGAATGACACGAATATTCATGAATTTTTCTAATAATCCTTACAAGTATCGGGTAAGATCTTCAACATCGACTAGCATTGAATCCTGTTCCATATGTAGATCGTCCCTACTCAAGAGTCCTTCAACTAAAGCCTCGTTCAAAGCAGCAATTCTCGCATGTAAGTCATTAGCTATTACTTGTAACTGTGCAACGTTTAATTCCGTAAGTAAAACTCGTGATAAACGTCGCCTATCTTCACCTAGTTGTACGCCAACCTTTAACAAAAAAAAAAGAAAAGTAACCATTTAATAATCAATAACAGGACCAACAAATATAGAAAGATTTCTTTTCAATTTTTCATTACAAAAACATTTGTATTATAATATATTCCAATTTAGTACTGCATGTACATTTTGTTTATAGTATGGTTAAGGTATACAGTAATTACGAATGATAATTAATTTATATAAAATATTAATAAATATATTAATAAATGTTTTAATAGTAAATTCAAATGATTGAACAGAAATGTTTCTTTAAAGTTTGTATATGATGCATATTTCAACTTGGCATTGCATGCAATTTTGTTTATAATATGATTAGGGTATACAGTAATTAGGAATAATAATTAATACATTATTTAATTTACATAAAATATTAATAAATATATATTAATAAATGTTTTAATAGTAAATTCAAATAATTGAACGGAAATGTTTTTTTAAGCTTTGTGTACGGTGTATATTCCAACTTAGCATTGCATGCACTTTTGTTAATAGTACAATTACGGTATACAGTAATAAGCAATGGCAATTAATACATAAAATAAATATATAATAAATGTTTTAATAGTAAATTTAAATAATTTAACACAAATGTTTCTTTAAAGTTTGTATACGATGCACATTTCAACTTGGCATTGCATGCAAGATTGTTAATAGTACAATTACGGTATACAATAATTAGAAATAATAATTTATGCATTATTTAATTTACATAAAATATTAATAAATATATTAATAAATGTTTTAATAGTAAATTTAAATAATTTAACACAAATGTTTCTCTAAAGTTTGTATACGATGCATATTCCAACATGGCATTGCATGCAATTTTGGTTATAGTACAATTACGGTATACAGTAAATAAAAATAATAATTTATGCATTATTTAATTTACATAAAATATTAATAAATGTTTTAATAGTAAATTTAAATAATTTAACACAAATGTTTCTTTAAAGTTTGTATACGATGCATATTCCAACATGGCATTGCATGCAATTTTGTTAATAATGCAATTACGGTATACAGTAATAAACAATGACAATTAATACATTAATACAAAGGTTTATATAACGAAGATTAATATTATTTAATGAATATGAAATATAAATTGATTCTCTTACTTTTTCCAAACTGGATCTAACCATTTCCGTGATTGGACTTTGTTTGAGCCTTTGCCTTTCAACTTCCATTTGCATATGTGCCATTTCTTTGGCTTGTGCAAGTGCCATGCGTGCTTCTGTTTGAAGTTTCGCTTGGCGTGCAAAGAAATCTGCTTCATCAACCGGGGCTGAATTTGTACCAGAGTCGAGTCTCAATGGTGGTAGGCTTAGTACTTGTGGTCTCGAGGGTGCTTGTTGTTTTGTTTGTTGTTTCGATCCACGGGACATTGGTGTTGATCCCGGCAAGGCGTCGCTTTCTGAGCATGATGATTCAGTATCTGACGGTGTTTCGTTCATGAAGCAAATTTGAAGATTCATACCTTTAATAAAACAATAATACAATTAATTACATTCAATCCATTTTATACATAAAATAATAATAATAATAATAATCATCATCATTTCATCAATTAACTTACACTTTTTGTTTATTTTCAATAGAAATTTGTAAAACAATAGTTTGAACAAAATATAATCCCAATATTTAACGTCATTTTGTTAATAGTTCAACGATTATTTAAACAAACTAAACACGTAGTACACTCTTTTTACTTGCAATAAAACTTTGTATCAACTTTGAATCAAATTCAATCCCATTATTTGACTATGTCATCATGTTAATAGTTCACAACGATAGTTTAAATAAACTAAACACGTAATACTTTAATTTCCAATAGAAATTTCGTCCAAAAACAAATCGTCTAAGTTAATAATTGCAAGCATTTTATTAAATGTCACATGCCGCGCGTTAATGGTTTCATATAACGATCCGTAAGTGAAGTATCTTTAGATCTTAAAGGGTTCGAACCCTTTAAAGGTAGGTTCTCGTACGAAAAAAAAAATAAATAAATAGAAGGGATGAAATGAACCTGATACGAACCACTTTGTAGACGTGACTGAAGGCTTGGCTTTCTTCCTCGTTCAGCGCGCATGTCTTCAGCGTCCGGACCCATTGCTAATCTTCTTCTAATCTCCTCACGGTCAGTTCTTCGCTGTTGGCAAATAAAAAGTATTTTTCTATATATATACAAGATGTATATTGTATATATATATATATATATATATATATATGTTATGTGTTGTTATGTAGTTACAATTTTTACTAGGTACTTTTTTATTTGTCTTTAGAATTTCCGCAAGCGTGAAAAAAAAGCTCCTTCATCTCCTCCTCCTCCTCCTCCTTCTCCTTCTTCACCTCCACCTTACACTGGAGAATTTTATTGCCTTAGGCCAGAACAAGCACCTTTCATTTCGACTTCGTATATACGAATATACTCGTGTACAGTCTAATAATGCATGCCTACGTTTTTTACGAGCTTGTTCCCATTTTTTATTTTTATTTTATTTTATTTTATTATTATTATTATTGTTGTTGTTGTTATTATATTATTCTTTTTTTTTTTATTATCGTCTCAAGAATCACAAGTATTTCCTTTTGTTACCTTTTTACCTACAAACAATTCTATACGTGATTTTTATTTATTTATTTATCTATTTATTTATTTATTGGTAAGCATTCTTTGTTATAAGATTGTTTTTTTTTTTTTTAGAGAGTTGGAATAGTTTCATAATAATTTTATATTTAACAAATAATAATAATTTTAATATTTGAATGATTAAATCCTATAAAGTACTATAGAATTTTGTGAATTAAATTTGGAATGTGGTTAAATCCTATGAAATAATATAGAATTTTATGAATTAAATTTGGAATGGTTAAATCCTACAAAATATAATAATAATATATAATTTTATTAATTAAATTTTGAATGGTTAAATCCTATAAAAAAACAATAATAATATATAATCCTATGAATTAATTTTTCAATGGTCATATCCTATAAAAATGAAATAATAATATATAATCCTATAAATTAATTTTTGAATTGTTAAATCCTATAAAATAATATATAATTTATATGAATTAAATTTGGAATGTGGTTAAATCCTATAAAATAATATATAATCCTATGAATTAATTTTTAAATGGTCCAATCCTATAAAAATGAAATAATAATATATAATTCTATGAATTAATTTTTGAATTGTTAAATCCTATAAAATAATATAGAATTTTATGAATTAAATTTGGAATGTGGTTAAATCCTATAAAATAATATATAATCTTATGAATTAATTTTTGAATTGTTAAATTCTATAAAATAATATTGAATTTTATGAATTAAATTTGGAATGTGGTTAAATCCTATAAAATAATATATAAT